CAAAAAGCCGGTGTTGCAAATCCGAATATGTTCATTCAACCAGATTCACAATGATAAATAACAGAGAAAATATAGTACTAGTAATAATGCAGAACAGTTTCAATGTTAGAAGAAAGCTTTGCGAATACAACCATTGCTTTTGTACAATAAAGTGATGAAAATTTCAAATTGGCTTCCAGAGCAAGCTATGAAGATTTAAAAGATACGCTGTTGAATATATGATGTCCTTTTAGGAAAAATATCTAAAAAATAAAAGTAAATACTTTTAAGAAATATTAAATAATTGTTTTTATCAAACCTTTAGATCGTTTTTTGTTAAAAGTTCATTAGAGTGTTTTTACTGCGCAGCATAACAAAATCCTTGATATTTAAACGTTGATAACACAATATACCACTGACTTGTTCACGATTTGACGATGAAAAATTAACTTATTAAACGGTAAAACTAAGTGCTCTTACTTCTTCAAGAATGTCAAGTTTGAAACTAAAAGTTTTCTGATGTTTATGGATAATGGATTTTGTCTTAATAAACCTTTTGTATGGGTATGATTATTTTGAAAACATGTATTTTAAGAGATTAAAGTTATTTAAGACACTTATTGAAAACCTTTTCAATTATGCTTTGCAAACATGAATTTCAAAATATTGTTATTCATGCAATCTTTCGCATAAAATGATATTGCAATGCAACAGGCAACAATTGGCAATGCAACAGGCTGTTGGAAATAGGTAGCTACGCTCTTTACTTCTTTAAATCTTTTCTCGAAATGTGAACATTCGGTTCGAAACTTTTCAAAATAAGGCAGTAATTTTTTTTATTTATATTCTGTCGATGGAGAATTTTCTAAATAAAATATCTAACTCCTTATCTGGTCAAAGTAAAATAAAATTCAATCAGAAAATATTCATTTGTTTTAAAAATTAATGTATAAAACTTTCCATTCCGTTGCAGTGGAGTCGTTTTTTAGATCTGGCTTACCGCTTGTTAATTTAAGACTTAGCCGGGTCTGGTGGCCCCCCCCCATCTTTTCCGTTAGATATTTTAATGACCATGATAGCCAATAGAAGTCAGCTGTGAAGTGCGTGTTCATCTGGATTGTTGCTGTTTGTGAGTTTCGAACTTTAAATCATTTGACCTCCAGCCTAGCGCTTTACTGGTCATTCCAAAGTAGCTGTCATACAGGGGGGGAAGACAATTAGCCTGCCATTCGTAAACGACTTTCGCAGCGTCCCCGCACCTTATATCAAAGTATCTAATAATGTAGACCCGCGGTCGCCAACCGGTGGTCCGTAAATAAAATTCTGATGGCCAGCAGAAAAATTAGGATATAATTTATGCTTTCTTTACGGACATTTTTCACTTTTTTCAGATTAAAATATATATATATATATATATATAATATACCCATAATGATTGAGAAAAAGCAAGCGAATATTTTGCATTTCTTTAGTAAAACTAAAGATAGAATAACTAATGAAAATAGCATTACTTCATTTAACAGAGACTCGGTCAAGGAATCAAAGCATTCATATTCCTCGTCACTTGCAGACAGCATTAGAAAGAACGTTCAAACTGGAGACGAAAAAATAAATAAATAAAAGAAATAACAAGAATATTGATTTGGGGTACTTAAAAATTGAATGTATTCCAGAAACTGTTATATACAATGTCATTAAAATTGATTTAATCGGCCTTTTGGTATTATCTGTTCTCAGAGTTTTTCTAATGTTGCCATGAAACCTTCAAAATTCGAAAGACACTTGAAATCAAAGCAACCAGATTTAGCTAAGATTCTACTTGAATATTTTCAAAAAATGCGTGAAAATATGCAAAAGTAATTAGGTACCATAAAAATATGGTTACTTAAGATAAGTGCCTATCAAAGGCTTTTTATCTGATAGCACTTCAAAATAGCGAAAATCGAAAGGCCATATACGATCGGAGAAGAATTTTTCATTTCAAGCTTTGCATATTGTAAGCCTGTGAAGAGGTTTTTGGAAAAGAACTGTGCGCAAACTGAAAGTAATAAGTCTGCTAACACTGTTATCCCCAGAACTGAAGAAATGACTGAACATGACTGGTCATCGCTCAGGAGTTGTTGCAAAGGAGAAAAATGTTGTCCGCTCAGGAGTTGTTGCAAAGGAGAAAAATGTTGTCATCCAGACTTTCTTTTACAAACTGCATTAACATCATAAATGAATTTCGACACAAAGCGTTTCATTCTCGACTATTTGAAACACTCTGTGAAGAAATGGGTTCCCAGTATACTCACCTTCTGCTTCTTGACACTGAGGTGGGATGTATTTCGAGGGGCAAAATACTGATTCGACTCTTCGTCCTGCATGAAGAAATCAAATTATTTTTTAGCAGTAAAATAATCCAGAATTTCAAGAACTCCTGTCCGCCGATGAGTGAGTAGTCAAGCTTGCATACTTGGCAGATGTTTTTCCTCTGTTAACCGAACTAAATTTAGGCTTGGACAACTTAAGCACGTGTTTACGGTACGAGTAAAATATATGTTTTCAAAAACCATATCACTGTGGCAGATGCTGTACAAGGAAATCTACAAATGTTTATAATTTTAATGAAAATATGGAAGAGTAGGATCTCAACCAGCAAGTGGTGTCCATTATTCAGCAGCACTTATAGTCACTGAAAGAATATTTTGGGTTTTAGCACCTAAAGCAAGAAGATCCTAGGCACGGAAATAAGTGGATAATAGATCCATTTTCAGCAAACACTGAAGATAGCAAATTAAAAATGATTGAAAACGAAAGCCAGATTGATCTGTCTTGAAAGACAGTTTAAAATTTAAATTCCAGTCATCTTTATCAGGACCTCATTTTTGTCTCTTAATAAAAAATGAATACCCATCCCTGAGAGTATAAAAGCAATGGAAATTTTAATTCAGTTTTCAACGACATATTTGTGCGAAAAGACATTTTCATCTGTAACAGCAGTTAATACTCAGTACTCCGTTTGATAAGCGTGGCTCTTCGTCTTGTAGTGATATCACTAGAAACAAAAATCCACAAACTGATTTCAAAGAAAGAGAAAAAACATCACACTAGAAAAGTATAATACTTAAATAAGCCTAAGTTTCTCATTTAAAAAAAATTACTCTGTAACTTTAATGGCTGCATTTCACATTAATAAAATAAAAGTTTTCTGATATTTATTATATAAATGTATTGACCTTTTGTTTCTAAATTCATATCAATGGTCCGCCAAATAAGAAGTTATACATTTAGTGGTACATGAAGTTCTATAGGTTCGTGATCGCTAATATAGACAATGGATACTTTTAAGAGACAAATTAAACATTTAATACTGGAAAGAGAGAACCATTATTTAGTACATATGAGCTGGAATGTATATTACATAATTTGGAAGTATTATTCTCCAATGGGGAAAACGTTCCTTTTTAATTCTTTCTAAATTTTCTCCAAAATTTCTTGTTATCCATCAGCATGGATACATGAACTAACTTTGTATATTTTCCGTTGTTTAGAGTTAATAAATACTATCCGCTATTTCTTGATCTTCTTTGTAATTCTGCTACCCCCGCAGAGAAGTAACCAGAAGGCAGTAAGGTAGAAACTCTATACATAATCCACACTATTAACAAATTCCGTCAAGGCTTCATGACTACAATCGTTTATGATTAGAAAATTTCCCATTTTTGTAAAATAAGATCTGAAAAAATCTTATGTGTACACCAAATGATTTCCTTGTAAGGAATACTAAATTATACGCATTTTCTTGCATTTCATTTAAACTTATTGGATTGAATTAAGTCTACTTCGTTGATAGCGCATAAAGAACAATAGAATAAATGCCCTCTTTAAAATGCGCTATTTTTGTTTACCATAGTGACACTCTGGCTCTAGGTTCACTTAACAGCGTTATATTTCGTTCATATTATAATTCAGAATGCACAAAATTTACATCATTTGAAGAAATAACTAATCGTTGCCACATGTTCTGTTCAAATACTATAATAAATCTAGAACGATGTATAAGAGATTGATCAACAAAACAAAAAAGAAACAGTTTTTCACAGACGATTTAATATTTCCCATTCAATTAATTCAGTTCTCACTTCGGGACAAGCAAAAATGCATAAAAACTCAAAATATCTATATTAAAAATTACGAAGTAAATCTTAAACACTTACTTCCTCGAAAAAATTCTAGGAAGGATTAAGCATGATTTAATTCGCAATAATAAATGAAGGCGTTAACTTTGTTGTTGCGAAGCTTAGTCTCTCTAGATTGGCAACAAATCTACTATTCTTCTGTTTCAAATGTAAACAAATATGTCAGCCATGCTATTTAAAAATTAGGCTTAACCGCACTTAAACAGCTTTTAAATTGTTGATACAAATATTGCTTGCAGATTTACTAAAGGCTTAAAAACCTTAACCGGAAGATAAGAACAACATAATACAATCATTTTAAAGCAAAAATTGCACAATTTGCAAACATATAAGAGTAAAGAAACTGAGATCGCTGAGCCGGGTAACCGATTGGATATATGTATGAATACATTTATATACGTTATGTGCGACCGATTGCAACCACAATACGAGGTGAACATCTACATGTTATAGCAGTCCTATACACAAAATCTCAACGTTCTGAGGTTTTGAGTTATGCGAGATACGTACGTACAGACGGCACGAAAAATTATCTTCAGAATTTATTTTAAAGCAGCTTTATAACTTTTTTGGAGGAAAAGAGTCTTTTACTCTGTCCTTGCGTACAGATGTCACCAAAAAACATCGTTAAATTGCATTCGATAGCGGTGAAAATGGATATTTTCGTTGAAATATGCTGCCTGAAACATTTCGCAACTGCAATACTTCCTTTTTACTTCGTACAAGGAAGTAAAAAAGAATCTATAATGCTAAATTTTTCAAAATGGAACAAAAAAAGGAGGAAATGCTTTTCTTCTCCTTTCTAAGTAACATGAAAATGCCAATAAAGAAAACACGTACCTTCATGTGACACATTTTCTGCTTTGTTTCTGAGCACGGCAACTGCTGCTGCAACTGCTAGTAAGGCCAAGGTCCCAAGTGTAGCTAAACACACTAATACGACCGCACTCACCATTCCTCCATTTTCATCGTCTATGGGGTGGTAAAAATGAGCTATTGTTATTTCATTATATATACAATTCAAACAAAAGCATTATTCTTCGTTATAATGATTATTCAGAGAACGATAAAATTTATAAGAATTAAACATATTATAATGTTTTAGTATGGTTCCTATACATTAATAAAAGTGTTTCACATAATCTCGTGGTAGAAAATAAAAGTTCCTTTAGAACCTAAACAGCAGAGTTTCAAAAGTAATGCATAAAAGTTAAAAATTCTAATAAAGAGAGAGAGAAGGACCTTTTTTTTTAACAGACGTACAGAAAATTTAGCGATTATTTCCAGAAAATATCGTTCATTGCCTTCTGTTGATACGGAAATCTGCATGAATTTTTCTATGGATTTAAGCATACCTTGAAATTTTATGAGTATAATTAAGTCTTCGCCATTATTTATAAGTGCATCGTTTTGTGCTATGAAAGAATTATGAAATATTATTTATCATTTTCACGGCTATAGAAATTTATTTAAATAACTTACATTTTGATTTTAGACAGAAAGTATTCCATATATTAATATGGCTCGCAAACTAGAAAAACAAAATATTTAATATTTAATTTTATGATGTGAAGTTTATACCTCTGTTCACGAACAGCTGTTCGGATTTGCATAACTAATAAGGAAACATTAATTAAAAATTAGAGAAATTTCGGTAAGCTCATTTGTTTCCTCTATTCTATTATTTTGCTCACAACACTGGAATTTTCAAATTCCACATTGTAAAATTTTGTCGTTGCTTTCTTTTACTCGAATAATTTATTAATACAGATTTAATATTTTAGCATATTTATTTTAGTACCATACACTGATTTAAAAAAGTAAGTAATGAAAGTAATAAAACACATGATGATTTTTTGGTCATACTAGAAAAACTATGAAAATATCCTTTTCCACACGCCGAATTTTCTTTAACTATATACATTACTCTTAAATATTAACTATGTTATAAGAATTTTATATTCTTTAATTACTTTTCAGATTTTTCTACTTTTGATTTTGATAATGAAATTTGTGCTTTTTTGTCATTTTGTGTAGTATTTTTTTAAAATTGTTTTAAATCTTAATTTTAATAGCTACAATTATATTACCTTTTTTTTTACAGTTTTGTATTTTTCTTCAAAACATATTCTTAGGTTTAAAGAAAATATGATTTTCGAATCTTTTCATATTCTGTAAGGTACGAGCTATAAAATTTTTAATTAAGAAAATCCTATTTTGTAGATAATTAAAGAAAAATCAATGAAAATCTTAATATTTTCTTTCAACATTTTTCATTAATTACAAAATGGAATTTAAAAAATACATAGTTGAAGAGAAGAGAAGCTTAAGAGATATTGAAATTCAAAAACATGTAATGAATGAAGTTAATGCAATTTTATTACAAATTAGAATTACTAATAAAAACACAAGACAAGACCTAATTGAATTATTCTCGTATAAGAATTAATTAAATTATTCAAGAAACTATCGAACAAGAATAAAATTAATGTTTATGTATAAAATTAACGTTTAAAGAGGTTTTGTCGTTACGTTCTTGTTAATTATTTACAAGAAAAAAACATCAAAAGCTCTCAGTGTGGAATTTGAAAACTCCTAGTTACATGATCTAAACAAAGATGACTTAGGTAAACAGATACAAATCTAAAATGACCTAAATCAACATAAAATATAGTGCACTTTTTGAATTTTTATAATTTTATTATTTAGTTATATAATAAAGTTCGCATTATATGAGCCCTGTAAAAGATGTAAATCCGTCAAAAAAGTGAAACATAAGTAGATAAATAAATTCCCGGTTCTTTTATTTCTTTTGGGTAAAATTATTATTTGATGTCGGAAGACTGCAAAACGCGGGAAGTATAAAAAGAGCTTTGGTATTTCAATCCAGATTCAAAAAACCAGAGACATTGAAGCTTAAATTGCAAGAACAGTCTGAAAGGACTGCATATAGTTCAATCAATTCTGTGTATTTTACCATATACTTTAACCAATTCTATGTATATTTTTCTTTCAAGTTCTTTGTCTACATATTCGATAATAAGTAAGATATTTTTCCTGCATCTTCATATTCATAAAGCTCTTTTAACTCGTCTCCTCCACATCGCCTTGCCCCAAAAAGAACTTTTATTTACAAATGTGATTTTTTTTTCCTTTCGATTGGTTCTCTCTTGCGTAAACCCTTTCATCTCGTATTTCTGTTTCTCATAAATCCATGTTCTGATAGGTAAGCAGAAATTGCTAATATGCTAATATGAAAATCAAAAATCTGGATTCGAACCCTGAGAAAGTTTAACAATTTACAATAATTTATCTTTCGCATTCACAAACGTCTATCTTCTTAATTTACGACATTAATTTAAATCAGAGTCTTCAGGACGCAATCAAAATTCTATTAGCTTAGATTTTTTTATGTTTATTATTGTTTCTTGAACAAATGGCGCTATGTTCATTTTTGCTTTGCAACGCCTGTTGATATGCGTAAATCTCCGACTTTATTTTATTTACTTATTTATTGAATCCTGTGGAAGAAAATATATACTGAATCGTCATCTATATCGGCAGAAATTGATCCAAAATATATGAAGGCTTGCTTCCTCGCTTGCTTAAATTCTCTTCCTTAATGTTGTAACCCAGGCAGTATTTTTTCTTACGAGATGGTCTCATGAGTTGGTCGAAATTCCCTGTGAATCCAAAATCGAAAATACCCGAAGTATTAAAAACTTTATTTTTATAAATTTTTGAAAATAGAAATTAGGGTGTGTTAAAAACCTTAATTTCATTTATTTACAAAAAACCGTTCTTTGCTAGCAGCCATGAATGAGGAAGAGAAAAGTTTTATTCGAATGATCTGCTATCAAAATGAAAAAGGAAAAAATAAATATTGTTAGATGATTAATTACTAAAAAGAGGATAAAATTACAAATTTCCACAGCTGTGAAAAGTACTAATAAACTTATTTAAAATGTGTTAGCAATAATCATGTAAGTCTCATGGAAAGAAAAAAGTGAAAATTATTCCTTCGTGAAGAACTTGTAACATTTTAAGATCAATATTATCAAGGCCTTTTTCGAGGATTTTTCATTTAGGCGAAGATAGCAAACTAATTAACTTATAGCTCTGATGCGCAATTCCACAGGCCAAAAGTTAGTGAAATTTCCATAGTTTTAATTACAATGCATTATATATAGAACAAATGATACCATAAAAGAGATTGTTTAAAAGAGGTTAGAAAAATAAAGTATAACTGCAGTAAAAAGCTTTTTACGTGGTTTTAAATAAACTAGAAAACCAAAATGTTTTTCACTATTAAATATAATATACTTTTTAAACTACTCTAATGTTTAGTCATATGTGACTAAATCATGAGAGATCCATGTATGAATTTATTAGTGCATTAAATGAATTTAAATTAGCAGCGCAGCTTAAAGATACAGAGATACAATAGACAGGGATTATTACATTCTTTTCGCTTAAATTTCTTTTTTACGATTTTGATTTAAAATTCAACACTACCATCAGGCCACAAAATTTACATTTGATAGCAAAGAATGTTAAGATAGTCAAAAATGTCTTTTATTATATTTTACTGCCTCTAAGTAAAAACCTGTGACTTCAGTTTTCAATATATATTTAATTGCTTATCTTCTAATTTATAGAACACATTAAAGAAATAAAAAGAAGAAGAATACCTGTGCATGAATGAAGGAAATTATTCTTTCTAATTAGCGTAGCAACGAACTACTAGTGACTCCAATTTCGTTTTCAAAGTCTTCCCATCTATCAACTAGTGTAAGATTCCATTCAATTCATTTAAATTTCTGTACGATTTAAAATTCCAAACGTTAGAAATGCCGAAAAGGTGTATACATATTTGTGTAAAACTCGGAACTGAGCGATGGTCAGTTTGACCGTGAAAGAAGAATCTGAGAAAAAGATTCTGAAGACGAAATTTTATTGATTTTTGAAAACATCCAGTACCAAATACCGTACGCATAAAAATATTCCAGAAAGTTGAATAAAGAGAAGAAACTTAAACATTTATTTCGAAATTTTTCCCAACAAATTAAGCTGAAGAATTACAATCAACAAAGAAACAAAGAGGAAAACCAAGTTAATTAAAAAACATGTAATGAAAAGATCTGAACAAACGCTCATTGAACTTAACTGACTATGAAAAAACTCATTTTGGTTATTTGAGGGAAGAGCTATAAGTAAAGGAATGAATCACACACTAGAAAACATTTTATAAAAAATGGTAATTATATTACACAAGAGCAAAACAACATTACCCAGGGAGCCAGCCCATTCAACCGCTGTAAATAATAGTCAGAACGAACTAACGCCATTTTTGATACTTCATCGGATTAGCTACTGGTCGATGATTTTGAGGAAATATGAGCTTAAAAATACTGCAGTGCAGATGAAAATACTCTGTTTCACAAGACACGCTTAGTAAAAGAAGCTGAAATATCAAACAACTCCGTGTTCGGTTTTCAAAAAACGTGTGTCACCGTCCTATTGGGGATGCTTACTTAAGGAACAACGGTAACTGAAAAAAAAAAAAAAAAAAAAAAAAAAAAAACGTGATAATGAGTTGTTCCAAAAGAATAAAACATTTTCGGGTTTCACAATAGAACATAAAAAGCTAGGATGACAAGAAGATTCTCAAAATGGTTTTTCCTTTGATTTCCAGATTACTTTTGCCTTTGAAACTGAACGTCACAAAGAAAAAAAATTGGAAATTGAAGTGATTTCTCTTCAATGATAGCAAGACATGATAATCAACTATCCGTGTGCAGCATAAATTGTTTTTTACGTACCATCCATGACATAAATCATATTATCTTTGAATAATAACTTTATCAAAAATATTAAAATACAGAAAGTTATTGATGCAAAAAGGCAACAATGAGACTTAAATTTTGGCATTAAAGAATACAGGAAAAACCGATATGCTTCATACAGTTAAG